CATGTGACAACACTGAAGAAATGACACTTTGCTACAATGTAAAGTAGTGAGTGTACAGCTTGTATAACAGTGTAAATTTTCTGTCCCCTCAGAATAACTCAACACACAGCCATTAATGTCTAAACCGCTGGCCACAAAAGTGAGTACACCCCTAAGTGAAAATGTCCAAATTGGGCCCAATTAGCCATTTTCTCTCCCGGTGTCATGTGACTCAGTGTTACAAGGTCTCACTAAAATGTACTCAATTGTTTGTTGACAAAGTAACGAAGTGCATTTAACATTATATTATGTTGGGGTTTCCACAAACTGGGTTTGGTGAAGCTGCAGGGGGTCCGTAAGTTGATAAAGCTAATAATTAATTCAATCAAAACAATGAAAAATGATCAATTTGATAATTTATACATATTAACAAATTATCTAAAATTGTTAAATCATTAAATTAAAATTATGCTAAATTATGAACAAACGGTTTTATACAATTACAAATCTAATATATAATTTATAAATATATAATTATAATTTATTATGTATAATTATTATAATTTTACAGTTTTATGATTTAAATTATTATTAGTTATTTTATATATATAATATTGTATTATTAGATTACTCTCAAGATTTTTTTTTTGTTTGGGAATAAATTTAAGTCAAATTGCAAGTCAAACTCTAGAATCCTTAAGAAACAACAACAACAACAACAACACACCCACCTTCAGCATCATTCCTGCTTGCTCGAAGGCCCTGCATACAAAAACATACGTTTATAACAAGCAGCAAAGTCATACAAAAACACAATGATCAGCACAATAGCCAAGCAGGCTTCTGTAATCACTCACTTGGCAGCATGGAACAGACTGGACCGCGAGTCAAGGACAAGTACAGCGGGACTCTTGTGACTTTCAGACTAAATAATGAATCTCTCAGTACTCTATCAGTGATCTACCAGTGATATCTGTGATCTCCCAGTGATCTCCCAGTGATCTCCCAGTGATCTCTGTGATCTACCTGTGATCTCTGTGATCTACCAGTGATCTACCAGTGATCCACAAGTGATCTGTCAGTGATCCACCAGTGATCTCTCAGTGATCTACCAGTGATCCACCTGTGATCTCTCAGTGATCTACCAGTGATCTCTCAGTGATCTACCAGTGATCTCTCAGTGATCTCTCAGTGATCTACCAGTGATCTCTCAGTGATC